TATATATATATATATATAAAAGAAATCTACTCGAGTAATTTTTTATATGAATAATTTTTAATAGAGTTATTTTACTTAATTTACTATTTATATTAGATTTTTTAACCTTTCATGCTATTGTTAAAACTTGTTATTAAATAGATATGTTTTAATTAATTACATGTTTTTGGGCCTATCTTATTTATTTTGAAGCATATAAAATATGTATTTACATACTGCGAAGGTATGCAACTCACACGTACCGGAAGTTGTATTATAAAACCATGCAAACATAAGTTGATTTTTTTTTTCGTTCCTGGAGTATCCACCGTGACTAATCTCCTGAGGCACCTCAAAGAATGAGATAGTTGATCCCAAGATTTAATGTGGCTGCATACACAAAGTAGAATTTGAGCTTCTAACATTGCTTAAGCGTGAATCAATCCCTACCGTTGAATCACACGCTTGAAGTTACATAAGATGATATCTTTGTAGCATAATTTTAAAACAAGTTATGTTGCTTCTATTAAGAAGTTTTTTTTTCTCATAATTTTCATTAATTTTTTGTCGGATATTGACAATGACAGGGACAGAAATGGAGTTTCACTCTACTGCACCCTGTTTTAGAAGTTGGGCACCTTGATTTGCAACTGTTTTTCATGGACTTGCTACAAAGTGAAAGTGACTCTTCATAATTCATATGACATACATACCTAAACCTCTGCACTTTTATGGTATGTTTTTATTTATAAATTTTTATAATTGATGCTTTGTAACTAATTAACGAACGTAATTTATGAGACAAAAACTCAAGTAAAATCCTTTAAGTTTAGTTGGTGTTTTAAAAATATATATTTTAAGAGAATAAAACTATATATTAAGAATTAATTGATTAGAGATGAAAATGATGAAGTAAAAGGTTGTAGCAGGTTTTTGTGATGATAATGCAATGACCAATGAGATAAGATTTGTGTGACAAATGGTATATGTAGGGTTATATATCCAACTGGTGGGCCCCACAACTTTTCGTCGCTATTTCCCCAAATAACATCGCTGCAATCCAACCATATTATGTTTCTCATTCCACTAAGATTCATTCATTCTAATTATAAAATAATAATAAAAAAATACACTTTTTTTTTATTATTAACTTGTTTTTCAAATAAAAGCACTCAAACATAAATAACTTAACTTCAAAATCAATTTTTCATAATTAATTTATTATGTGTTTCAAGAATCAAATGGCACGTGGACACTATTATCCGTAACGTAATTAATAATTTATTAGCTGAATTTGTCGTGATTCTTGTGTTAAATGTAAATCTCATTTGAGAAACTAAATACAAAAAATTAAAATTAATTTTACAAATACTTAACTTAACAAACACTTTCAACGTTTTTTTTAATGTGTATTATCTGATGTTAGGACTATTGGTGCATTATTATTACCATAGATGTTTTGATTAAATAACCAAGCTTAATTTTCTTTATCACTTTCTTCAATATTTCTTACTCTATTTTCCCTCCTAACTTTTTTGAAGGCAATTCTTTTGAGTAAAAAATAAACTACTAAATGATTTTTTTTTATAATGTGTCTTTCAAAAAAAATTGTGCAAAACATAGCATTAATTTGATTAAAAAGTGGTCAAATATTATAAATACTATTGAAACCTAATATTCATTTATTTGGAGGATAAATATGAATTAGGCTTGTATGCGAACACGTTGATGGTTGACTTGGTTAGCCTTCTGTTTCATAGTACCCTTCTTAAAAAGTTAAACTACAATTGTTGACAAAAATTGATGTTGACTTTATATAGTTGAAATTTTATGATTTATTATACGTGCATATAATTTTTTTTTTAAGAAAATAAAATTTACACCAATCTGTGTGTGTTAATCGATTATTTTCACAATTAACCCATTATTTTGCATTTTCAATCAATTATGTTTGTTGAAACGTAACTTTAGAAGAATAAAGGAGAACACATAATCAATTATAGGTGACAAATAAGAATAATTAGTTATTACTTGACTTAGGATTTACATGTTATTTCACTTCCTCGAGTGCGAAAATATTTTATTGTAGAATCTATTAACTTTTTTTTTATTTCCCTTCTTAATATCAAAAAATAAAACATAAAACCTATTTTTATTATATTTTACGTTTTTGAAGAAAAAAAAAACTTTATAGTATGTTTGGATGGAGAATTTAAATGGAGTAATTCATTTATTTTAAGAATTTCAAATTCTTTGAGGTGAAATACCTTGTTTGGATAGAGAATTTATAAGGAATTTGAAATTCAAGCATTTGTTAAATTCCTTGAAATAGTAGAATTTCAAATTCTCCCAAAAAAGTAAGAATTTGAAATTCCTCATTTTCTTTTCTTATTTCCCTTTATATATTTTATCTTATCTCTTATCTCTTCATGTTTTTAATTATTGAACATTCAAAAATATTTTTAAAATTATTAAATATTATCTAATATTAAATTTTAAAATTATTAAATATTTTAAAAATAGCTAATATTTATTTTTATAAAATTTAATTTAAAAATATTAGCATATAAATATATTTTTAAAATTAATTTTACCATGGTAGAATTAAATTATCATATTCAACCCAACAGTTTAAAATTTGATAAATTTGAATTGACTTATCCAAACAAAATATTTTAAGAATGATAGAAATTAAAATCAAAGTAATTCAAATACCAAGAATTTAAAATTTTTTGAATTTGTAAAATTTCTCGTCCAAACACACCATTAAGATAGTGAAAAAAAATTTCAGTACGCCAATGAAAAAAAAAAAGGATTGGCTTTTTTTTCTTTTTCCATACGTGTATAAATTATAAAGTATCATTTCCCTTTTACTTTAGAGCTGTGAAGTATTTTTTTTTTTTTTTCATTTCTTAAGCGTGAAACTAATTTTTGTTTGAACGTCTAATTAGTCGAAGTTAACTATTTGGTATTCTTTTTATAGCAAAATACAACTTCTTAAGCTACGGATAGAGTTTGCTCACATTATTGCTAAGATATCTAACTTAATTTCGTGATTAATAATTGATTAACTAACTTTAGGTTGGATTAACAATTCGGTGACCTAATTTATTTTGTCAACTAATATAACAAAATAATTTATATATTTATTATTAAACTAAAATGTTATATTATTAGCTAATATTAAAATCGGATTGATAGAGTGGGGAAAAGCATAATCTTTGGTATCTAACAAATTCTAAGCTCAAAATTAAACTTACTCTTTAATACGAAGTAATTGTAAGTTTTAAGGGAATAATCTTTGAATCTAAGAGAGCATCACTGATACAAGTGAATTGAGTTTGAAAAATTTTATACTAGCGTAAGATTAAAATTTTAAGACACATTTTTTATTTTTATTTTTATGTTGAGTGTATTTGATATAAAAAAATAGTTTGATAAAATACTTGAAAATATGTCAAAATATTCTAACATGTAATAGAATATTTTTTCTATGATGAGTAAATTAACATCTTTTATAAAATATATTGGTCAACTTTTAACTCCAATCTATGACGGGTCAATCGTTATAAAATATTTTCTTATTAGACTCAGTTCATGTTTCACTGTTTCATCTTCCTCCTCATTTAAGCAACATGAGTGATTTTAGTAATAAGTGTTTGGTATATTGTTAAGGTAATTTTAAGTGACACCAATGATCATTGAGGTAATTTTTAACAAAACTTTTCGTTCATTCTTGTACTGCTTTTCTTTTCATTATCGATCTCGTAATTGTTCATTTGTTCTCACACTTTTAAGTTCATTCTCTTCTCTTTTTCGTGCATTTTGTGTATTTCATGTTTGATGTTGGTGTTGTTGGTGATGCAAAGAAAAATTAAAATAGTTAAATTGGATTAATTTTGAGATACTTTTAGTTGTAAATAATTACAACCGGATTGTTGTATTGGATTGTCATACTTATACTTGTTATTTATCAAAATAAATTTTGAGAAAATTAAAAAATAAGAAAAACAACAATTTAAAATTGAAAGGAAATCGATAATTCAATATTCTATGAAATATAACCCGATTACATAATTCATTTTTTATCCTTAGTGTTATATTAAATTAAAAAATTATTTAACTAGGCAAGATTGAAATATATATAAGATGAATAGAAGTAAACCTGATTCTCTCAAGAAGATTTCAAATACAAGTATAAGAATGTAAAAACTTGAATGCTACAGGGAGATTCTACTAAAAATTGTTATAACCAAATTTTATGATAAAGATTAATTATAAATAATATCAATAAATATTTCTTACTAATGACATTGACACCATTATATTAAAAAAAAGTTAATATAAAGAAACACCAAATTCAATCAAATTCATAAAAGTTTAACAATATCAATAATACAACTCAACTATAAGTTATAAACTCTAAATCCTAAATTCATCAAAATTTTATTATAATTTTTGGCTCAAGTGAACTTGGGTTGTTCCGTTTAGGTATACCATGACTATTAGTCATGAGTTCTAGGTGTAGGTGATATCTTTATCCTAAAATTTATTTCACAAAAAGAAAATAAAAATTAGCTTTTGTTTGATTAATATATTTTCTGGAATCGACAAACTGGTCCCTTTAGCTGGATGCTAGTTTGAATTGTTCATACAAAACAAGGCAATTGTTGAGAGAGCTTCCTAATGACGATAATATTTGATTCATAGTTTCATAGTTTTAATTTCTATTGATTTATACCAAATAACTTAACTTTAAATATAACATAAAAGCAATAAATAATTTTTGTTTTTTTTGGGTACAATTATGACAATAAAGATAGAATTTACGATATGCAATTTATCTAATACTTTCTTCTGATATTCTTTTGCTCAATAAAAGTATTTAGAATAAGCATAGTAAAATGCGTTTTTCTCCATTATTTTCTTCAATATTGTGCACTTATAATGTGTTAATTATTCTACCAAATATTTATTTTAACATTAAAGGTTTTGTAAGGACGTTCTCCTGATTCAAACGCAAAGACTTCATTGATGCTAACAAAAACTAACCTATATATCTAAAAGATAAATTATAAATGTCAACCCCTATTTTAGGGTAGAGGAAGGACAGACATAAAAGAAAAGGTAAAAAATAATATGATTTTTGATGTGATGAAAAACAGAGAAAGAAATAGAATAAAAAAGAAGAAGAATATAAGTGAATTATATGGAAGTAGAGTGTATATTATTTACAGGACTCCTAAAAAAATATTGACGCTTAATTCAGCACAAAAAAGTAATATTGAAATTACATTACATTATTTATATATAGTCCATGCCAATATATCTTTATGTAAAAAATAATCTGACTTAATTAATATTTTTTATTCATATAAATTTAATTATGTAATATATATGTGTGTGTATATAAATAAAGAAGTATAATTACTTTTTAACGAGTTAACTTTTATAAGTGATATCTGTCTTTGATTAAGTATTATAAGGCCAAATCATTTGAGTTAAGAATTTTTAGTTAGAGAATATATGTACTAACAACATTTTATGGAAATAAAAATTAGAAATATAAAATTAATGGATTGATTTTTTTAAAAAAATCAATGTTATAAAATAAATTACAAATAAAATATATTTAAAATTTAAAATATCCATTCATAATTCACTTGTTAAAATTAAAATTTTAGTTGAAATATTGAGACTCAACCACAACTTATCACGTATAATAAATTTATTATTAACTTTTATAATAATTATTTTATAAATAAAATAAATAATATTCTATATATACTAAAATTGCAAATTTATCAACTTTTATAATGGTTATTAAAACATTTTTTTTATTAGTTGATTATATAAAATAACACATATCTATTTTTTTTATAGACTTAAATTATATACTCAAACTTGAAACTATTAATAAAATTAGAATAATCTTGCACTAATTATTTCATGTGTTGAGAAATAACAATATAATCACATGAAAAAAACAAATAATTATACGAATTACAAGATGTTAATAAACCACCAACGTGAATTCATTAGAATCGTTAGAACGTGAGAAAGAGGGATAATCCTAGTTTAATGTTTTATGTCCATTTTATAAGAAATTGAGTTAGTCAATTAATTAACTAAATGAGATAGCCAATTTATTTATATCTAGTATGGGGCCCTAGGCTACTCACCCTAGGCTACTCACAAATAAATAACTCTACCCATCTTAACATAAAATCCGTCTGTTAAAATTTCCTAAGTATTGTAACTTACACATAACTGTCAAGTTATGTTATCAAAGTGAGAAAATATTAAAATTATTTAAACTATAATAAATGATCATTAATGACATGTCGATTAAATTGTTAAAAGTCACGTAAAAAATTTATAATTAGTTAAAGATGTGGAGAAGAATTAAAGGGTAAAATGAATTAAGAAGGTATTGGTGCAATAGTGCAGTGTGCACACAGCACAAATCCATGGAAAAGGCAAGTGTGAAAAGGCAACGGAAAAAGCGAAGCAGATTGTGAAAAAGGGTCACAAAATAAGCTCCCACCTGTCCACCTCACCCAACATGTGATGCACTTTTTGGCAAAAAGTTCATCCTCTGTACGACAACTAATAATGCTTTTTTAGCATTTAACACAATAAAAAATGCCCCAACCTAGGAGAGAGAAACTCCATTTTTTTATTCATAAATCATAACCAAATTAAAAAAATACTACTTCTAGTACTCTGCTTGCTGGTATAACCAATAGTGAACACAAAATAAAATAAAAAATGGGACACTCTTGTAGATAGCTAGATCTTCCTAATGTATCATCAGGATTCGATTTCTGTTTATGTAACTAAATATATTCACTTTTGTGATCAATTGGTGGTCTTCCACTATTAGTAAAAACATTTTTTCATGAAAAAAACAATAGGAAGTAGAGGTTTTTTTTTTATCATGGGATGGACCAAACAAAAGGGGTGTGGGTGTGGCCTAATAAATAAGCTTTTGCTTTCACTAGGAAAAAGACATGGCCCCACTAGTTGCATTACAAGTTTTTTTACTCTTTTGTTTTGCACTTTTTATCTAACATTGCTCATGTCATTACCTACACACACATCAAACAAACAAACCCCTCCATTGCATTATTCTCTTTCTCACACACACACTCTCTCTCTCTCTCTCACACACACACCTACACCAACACTCTCCATCATATCTAATCTCAAATCTACCTATTCCTATCTATCTGAACAGAGCAGAGGAGAGAGAAACACACTCGCAACACAAAAGGGTCTGTGTTTGTTCTCTTGAAAAGTCCAGCTTCCACCTCTAGGGTTCCTTTGCTTCCAATTTTTGCATAAAAATATTATTTTTATATTATTTTTCTCAAAAAAGCAACACACCCTTTTCCTTACCGATCTTGTCCTCTTTCTCTTTCTTGCCGTATGGTAATTTTCTTGCCTTCTGATCTCTTTCTCCTCCCTGTTCCATATTTCGTACAAACACATGTCTTTATTATTTTTTTTAATATTAAAAAGCTTTTTTTTTCTTCTTCTTAAAGTTCATGTTTTTCTGGGCATGAAGCTTTTTCTGGGAGATTAAGATAAGGAAAAGTTGAGAATTTTGATAACCAGGTAATTGGATTTGGTTAGATTTGTTATTTTTGTTTTTTGGTGTTGTTTCTGCTTCCTTTTGTGTTTTCTTCTGTGGGTGTATGTGATAGTGTGTTGGAGATGTTTCTGACGTTTTGTTTGTGGAGAATTGATCTGCTATTCGTAATTCGTACAAAATTCCAGTTAAATTTTTATCTGGTGTATTTTCTACTACGGTTTTTTTAGTTGGAAATGCATTTTTTTAATAGAAAATGGATAATTCAGTTGAATAATAATTATTTTTTTTATTCTTATTTTCCAAATCCAAACTCATATTTTCCTTTGGAAATTCTTCTCATAGTATTGTTATTAGCTAATATTGGCTTAATTATTTATAATTTAATTTAATTCTATCTTTTATCATTATTCTTTAGAAAGAATTGTGTGCTGCTGTGAAATAAATTTTCCAGTTTGGTTGTCAAGCCATTTGTTTAGTTTTTTAATTTTCTTTTCCTTTGAGCTGCCTCTCTAATCTATATTGCTTGATCTTGGCTGCATGTTTTCATACCGTTTCATCCCAGTTCCATAAATTATTAATCATGGCATCTATGCATTGTTCTGAGTTTCCATTAGAATCCATTCTCAGTTTTCTTTTCTCTTCATATGACTAAGTAGGTATAGTGTAAATTCTTACCAAATTGTTTACTTATTACCACTTTGCAGCAGCTGAATTTACAGAACTAAATTATAGCTTCCTTCATCACGTTGTCCAACAGCTTGTAAGTTGTATGACAGAGCTCAGTTCAGTTTCAACATGTTACTATAAGAAGGAAAACTTGTTGTAGCTTTGGGTAGATTTAAGTGATAACTGAGAATTGTTCATTTAGATTCAGGAGCAAGGGAAGAGGCAGTTTACAAATGGGTTACTTGTGTGATTTTTGTGGAGACCAGAGGTCTTTGGTGTACTGCCGCTCTGATGCTGCGTGTTTATGTTTGTCGTGTGATCGAAATGTTCATTCTGCTAATGCCCTTTCTCGGCGTCATTCGAGAACCCTCTTATGCGAGAGATGTAATTCACAACCTGCATTTGTGAGGTGTGTTGAAGAGAAAATTTCACTTTGTCAGAATTGTGATTGGTTGGGTCATGGTACCTCACCGTCTTCGGCACACAAGAGGCAAACAATCAATTGCTACAACGGCTGCCCTTCGGCTGCAGAATTTTCTTCAATATGGTCCTTTTTCTTAGATATCCCTTCCATGGGTGAAGCATGTGAGCAGGAACTAGGTTTGATGAGCATTAATGAGAACAGTAATAAGAGTGCTTGGGTTCCTCCAGAAGGCCAGAATGTGTCTGGTTCAGCTCAAGTGGCTGATCTTCCCAGCAAGGATAAGTCTTGTGCTGGCACATCTTCAATGCCTGAGTTGAGCTCAGAACCCCGTATTCTGGATCAGCCGCCTGGACCAGCAAATGAATGTGTGCCCAAGGTATAACCTCATGTTTTCATTTTTGTCATAATTTTATAACTGTTCTGAGTTCGATGGACATTCTAGCAACTGCAGAGTGAACAAACTTGCAAGGTTGCAAGGACTGTAGTCTTTGTGTAAATTCGTTTGATGGTTTGTTTTTACCCTTATAGAAGCCACAGAGTAATAGCAAAAACTATTGGGAAATGCCAGGTGTGATGGACATTCTAACAACAGAACATTGAATGGAATTACATGCTTGCAAGGAACGAGTTCTTTTTGTCAATTATTAGATGGTTTTGATATGGATATTTTATTTGTAGAAGCCATCACAATCATAGCAAAACTATCTCGCAACTATTCTGAAGTTGTTTCTCATCAACTGCTTTTTTTGGTTAAATCATTTGTAAATAGTGATAGATTTATAATTCATTTTCTAAATGATTATTACAGCATCTTCAAAACTGGTTTGCTTTAATTCTGCCTGTATGCTGTTCTTGGTCAAAATTGTATTGTGGTTTCACAGAACTTCCAACTTTCATGATTTATAGGTATCTTGAAATAACTCAAAGCAGGAACAACTGATCTTGCTTGATACTTTCTATCCTTTAGATACCTTCAATGCATGTTACAGTAGTCAATTTAAGTTGTCAAATCTTTACTTGACCCAGGGGTTTGCAAGTTCAAGGTTGATGATAAATGAAAACATATTAAAATGTCCAGTCTTTATTATACATCAATTTAGTGAGGATACTGTTTTAATTGTAATTAGAGTCTTATTCAGTTCCACATTTCAAGGTACCAATATGTTCTCTCTTTCATGGGTGTTGACTGTTCAAATTTTGGTCCATGGGTTTTGATAATAAGTGAAAGGAAATGACAAGTGGTTTGTTAATGAATATTGTCTTTGAAGCTTGTTTACATGGATCATTGTACCTTATCTACAAGGGTTGGGTATTTGTATATTTTCTCTCTTCACTAATCTTAACTCTTAATCAGTTGATTTTGGCCTATGCAACTTTATGACAGTATATGGCATGGCATAACAATATGCTTGCAAAAAATACAGTAGCCTGTAGCTTACATATATTGATCGTTAGATGTTTTGATCGTTGGATGTTCTTTTTATCTTTTTACTGAACTAAGTTACACAATTTTAGCTTTCTATATTATCTTTTCGTCTAATTACTTAGTTAATCTCTCATGATGAATCTGCAGTTGTACTGTCCTGGTAAGAAAGTTTCTGGAATATGTGAAGATGATGATCTATATGATGATTTTGCCATGGATGAAGTGGATCTAGAACTTGAGCACTATGAGGAACTTTTTGGTATGGCTCTCACTCACTCTGAAGAGCTTTTTGAAAACGGTGGAATTGATAGCTTATTTGAGACAAAGGACATGTCTGCTAGTGCTGGTGATTCCCATTGTCAGGGTGCTGTTGCTGCTGAGGTACTCAAATCTCACCATCCTTTTCTGTAATAAGCTTATTTATTTATTTATTATTATTATTGGAGCACCATCTGTTATATTTCATATAACTGAGCCGTGTTTTTGTTGTTGAGCCATGCATCTGACTGTTAATGTTATTAAAATTTACACTTTACAATGATTTTTAGCCTGTTGGTTTGTGTACATCGTTTCTTGTTGTCTCCCTGATGATCTGGTGATAATGAATATCTTAACTTGTATGATAGAAAGATTTATATACAGGGTCTACACCTGAATCCCAATAGGATTTAAAATGCTATATAAAATAACTTCCTGACTGAGTAAGTCCATGCTTCATTATCTTAATGATTTGGAGTGGAAGGAAAATCATTTGAAGGTGGGGTCAGCTGGGTGGCTTCATTATAACAACAATAAAACCCTTGTCATCCAGTTATCCCACTAGGTGAAGTTGGCAACATGGATCACATGATGTTGTTAGACTTGGTTAAAGATCAAATCTTCGGAGATATTATTTATCATGAGATCCCTCTTAGCAAATTCTTCCAATTCCTTAAACCATGCAATCTACTCTCCCGGTGCTTACAGTGACCTTCAACTAAAAATTGTTATCATTGTATTTTTCAAACTGATGATGCTAACAACCAAAGTGCTGATGTTTAGTCCTGATAGCTGGGACTCGCTATTTTGCAAAATTGGTGGCACCATAAATAATGAAAAATATAGATGTGTTTCTGTTTTTTTTTTTTTTTT